GCTGTGAAGCCATCTGGTCCTGGAATTTTGTTGTTGGGAGTGTTTTGATTACCCTTTCAATTTTGTTAATTTGTCATTGGTCTGTCAGATTTTCTGCTTCTTCCTGGGTCAGTCTTGGAAAGTTGTGCTTTGCTAGGAATTTGTCCATTTCTTCTAGGTTGTCCAACTTATTGGCATATAGTTTTTCACAGAATTCTTTAATAATTCTTTGTATTTCTGTGGTATCCATTGTGAATCCTTTTTCATTTCTGATTTTATTTGTGCACTCTCTTTTTTTCTTGAGAAGTCTGGTTAGGGGTTTGTCCATTTTGTTTATTTTCTCAGAGAAGCAGTTCTTGGTTTCATTGATTTCTTTCTATTATTTTATTTTTATTTATTTCTGCTTTGATCTTTATTAAGTCCCTCCTTCTACTAACTTTGGGTTTCATTTGTTCTTCTTTTTCTAGTTTCTTTACTTGTGAGTCTAGACTATTTATTTGGGATTGTTCTTGTTTCTTGAGGTAGGCCCGTATTGCTACATACTTCCCTCAGAACCACCTTTTGTGGTGTCCCACAAATTTTGGACTGTTCAGTTTTTATTTTCATTTGTTTCCATGTACTGTACTGCTTGATTTCTGTTTTAATTTGCTCACTGAGCTATTGATTATTTAGAAGCATGTTGTTTAGCCTCCATGTGTTTGTAGGCTTTTTTTGTGTGTGTAATTTATTTCTAGTTTCATACCACTGTGGTCTGAAAAGTTGCTTGATACATTTTCAATCTTTTTTAATTCACTGAGGCTCTTTTCGAGGCCTAGTATATGATCTATTCTGGAGAACATTTCATGTACTCTTGAGAAAAATGTGTATCCTGCTGCTTTGGGGTAGGATGTTCTGTAGATATCTGTTAAGTCCATCTGATCTAGTGTATTGTTCAGTGTCTCTGTTTCCTTATTTATTTTCTGTCTGGTTGACCTATTGATGTGAGTGGTGTGTTAAAAGTCTCCTAAAATGAATGTGCTGCAATCTATTTTCCCTTTTAATTTTTAGTATTTGTTTTACATATTTAGGCACTCCTTGCTGGGTGCATAGATTTATAATGGCTATATCCTCTTGTTGGACTGATCCCTTTATCATTATGTAATACCCTTCTTTGTCTCTGTTATTTTGTTTTAAGTCTATTTTGTCTGATATAAGTACTGCTACTCCTGCTTTTTTCTCCCTATTATTTGCATGAAATATCCTTTTCAATCCCTTCACTTTCAGACTGTGTGGCTTTAGGCCTGAAATGAGTCTCCTGTAGGCAGTCTGGTTTCTTTATCCATTCTGCCACTCTATGTCTTTTGATTGTTACATTCAGTCCATTTACATTTAAGGTAATTATTGATAGGTTTGTACTTATTGCCATTTTGTTTTCTGGTTGTTTTTATAGTTCCTCCCTGTTCCTTTCTTCCTCTCTTCTACTCTTCTCTTGTTATCTGATGGTTTTCTTTAGTGTTGTGATTGGCTTTCTCATTTTTATTTTTTGCGTACCTATTATAGGCTTCAGGTTTATGGTTACTGTAGGTTCACGGAGTCTGGTTAGGGGTTTGTCCATTTTGTTTATTTTCTCAGAGAAGCAGTTCTTGGTTTCATTGATTTCTTTCTATTATTTTATTTTTATTTATTTCTGCTTTGATCTTTATTAAGTCCCTCCTTCTACTAACTTTGGGTTTCATTTGTTCTTCTTTTTCTAGTTTCTTTAATTGTGAGTCTAGACTATTTATTTGGGATTGTTCTTGTTTCTTGAGGTAGGCCTGTATTGCTACATACTTCCCTCAGAACCACCTTTTGTGGTGTCCCACAAATTTTGGACTGTTCAGTTTTTATTTTCATTTGTTTCCATGTACTGTACTGCTTGGTTACTGTAGCTTTCTAACTCTACAACAGTCTATACTGAGTTGATGATTGCTCTATTTCAACCACAATCTAAAAGTACTTTTTTCTTCTTCTACCTTCTCCACATTTTCTGTATTAGATATCATAATCTGTACTTTCTGTGTGCCCCTTGACTGATTTTGTAGATAGTTGCTATTAATACTTTTGTTTTTAATTCTGTACTGGTTTGGTAAATAATTGGTCTACTACCTTTACTGCGGGCTTATTTTCACTGGTGAAAACTACTTAGGCTTAAGAACATTTCCATCTACAGATGTCCCTGTAACACATCCTGTAATGCTGGTTTAGTCATTATAAATTCCTTCAGCCTTCATTTATCTGGAAATGTTTAATATCTCCTTCAAATTTAAATGATAATCTTGCTAGACAGAGGATTCTTGATTGAAGGTCCTTCTGTTTTAATACACTAAATATTTCATGCCTCTCCCTTCTGGCCTCTAAAGTTTCTGCTGAGAAATCTGCTGACAGCCTGATGGGGTTTCCCTTATAAGTATTATTTTTTTTTATCTCTCTGGCTGCTTTCAATACTCTCTCCTTATCCTTAGTCTTCATCATTTTAATTATTTTGTCTTGGTGTTGTCTTCCTGGGGGTCCTTTTGTTATGGGCTCTCTGATTTCCATGACCTAAGTGTCTATTTCCTTCAGCAGATTGGGTTTTCAACAATTATTTCTTCAAACAGACTCTCTGTACCTTTGTCTCTCTCTTCTCCTTCTGGTACCCCTATTATGCAAATACAGTTTCATTTGGAGTGGTCACACACCTCTTGTACCATTCTTTCATTCCTAGAGTTTCTTTTTTTCTCTTTGTTACTTAGCTTCATTGTGTTCCTGTTCTCTAATTTCCATTTCATTGATTGTCTCCTCTACTTGCAGCAATCTATTATTCATTCCCTCCATTTTATTTTTCATTTCAGTTACTGTACTCTTCAGCTCTGATTGGCTCTTTTTCAGCTCTTCTATCTCTTTGTTGAAGTCCTCCCTGAGATCTTCAATACTTTTCTACAGATCAATGAGCATATTTATGACTGTTACTTTGAAATCTTTATCAAGAAGATTGGTGGTCTCCATTTCATTTAGCCTTCTTTCAGGTATCTTGTTCTGTAATTCTGTTTAGAACATATTCCTCTGACTTCTCATTTTGTCAGGGTTTCTGTGTTTCTTCCTTTGTATTAAATGGATCTACTATGCTTACTGGTCCGGAGAGGAATGGCTTTATGAACAAGGCATCCTATGGTGCCCAGAAGCTCAAAACTCTTTCCTCTCCAGTGCCTGATTCTCCTTTGGAGTGGAGCCCCAGTTGCTGTTGATGGGCAATGGGCAGGGCCACCTTTTTGTCTGCCAACAGTGGTCTACCTCAGTCCAGTTCAGTAGTTTGCCTCAGTTTGCCTTTGTGATCAGAGCAGTGGCTTCTCCTAGGATCGTTGTGCATGGGGCTACCCTCTGCCTGCCCTGCAGCAATGGTGGGGCTTCTGGGTTAATGGGGTGGATGGGGTGAGTCAGGAGGCAGGCCATGTGGGCGCCCCCTGGTGGCAGTGAGGCATATAGCACCAGGTTTGGCTGCCTCCTGGGGAGGAAAGCATGCTTGGAGCTGGCTTCTGCAGGCACCTCACTAATTGGGATGAGACAGAGCCAAGAAAGCCCAGAAAGCCTCCCACTGCCTGCCAAGCAGCAAAGTCTGACACTAATGGGCTGAGTGGGCTGGCATGAGGGCAGTGTGCAGGGAAGCACCTCAGGGCTGAGCCACCAGCAAGGCAGATGGGGCATTTAGGGCTCCCATGAGTGTACAACCTGTTGGGCCAAGGGAAGATTGGAAACTTACTGTGTACCTACCCTTTCCCCTGCAGAAAGAGCTCCATCCAGCCTCACCCCTCTGGCACTCCTCCTGCTGCTGGCCAATATTTCAATCTGCCACCTCTGTTTTGGGTCTCAGTGGGACTGGCAGAGCATGCCTGTCCTCCAAAAGTGGCTGGAGTCTCAGCCTCCCAGAGTGTTCCAACTGTCCCTGGTGTCCAGCCCTGTTAACCACCAGAAACCAATGCAATGTGGACTCATGTTCCCAGAGCAGATCTCCAGGGTCAGGTGCGCAGAGCTCCTGAGTGACAATCCCCTCCCTGCTCTGTTCCTCTTCCTCCCGCCTGTGGGCTGGGATGGAGGAAGGGCTTGGGTCCCATTCAATTGTGGCTCTGCCATTTTATCCTTCTCTGTGTGGTTTTCTCTTCTTCGTCAGGTGTAGGTGGTCTGTTTTGCAGTCTTCAGGTCATTTTCAGGTTTAATGGTATTTCCTTCCTTGGTATGTATGTGAGAGGTTTCCACATTGCCCTCCCTACTCTCCATCTTTTTCCCCCCAATCAAAATGATTCTAATAAACTTTTTATACTAAAAAATACCTGACAGGCTTAGTGTGCTATAATTCTCCAGGTATTTCATTTTGAACAAGGAATAAAGACCTTTGGTTAAAGAAATTAAATTCCAATTACAAAATTTAAGCTTAAGTCATCAAGGAGAATGAGATTTGGAAGAAATAAGCTCTTAGAATTATTTAAGTTGTTGCCTACTTAGCTAACTTAAAACTCATAACATTATATTTATTTTTTTAGTCATACTGCTGCTAAAAGTTGGACCATTAGAATTAAATGTCAGTTTTATTATCGTCACTATAAATGTAATGTATTGTAGCATACCAAAAACTATTTTATCATAAGACAACTAAAAAAATAAGGAAATCCTTAAAATTTGCCAAATAATTAAATCTTAGTTCTTTTAAACGTTCTTACTTATTTCAACAGAGTGAGAATATGGGAAAGAAGATGGAGGGATGGGAGAAAAGAAAGGAGGTGAGGAGTGATCCATCCATTGTCATCCCATTAAGTGACAGCTAGTGTTGTGCTAAACCAGAGAATGGAACTACAGAGGTCATGCCCTCAGTGACTATGACACACCTTTCTGCCCTAATTTAGTGTTAGGATCTCATAGGTCTTGGAAGGCTTGACTTATACTTTCAAAACTCCCGATTTTAATGAAAATATACCCTTGGTATTATTTTTCCTTTGTAAGTGTTAAAAGCTTTAAAGGAAAACCACACTTACCTGAATGTAATATGTGCCCTTTTCCTGAGCATACATCATTAGAAAACAATAATCTAGGTTTTGCTTTGTTCTCCATCTGAAATACAAATTTCCAAAAATAAGTTAATTATCAGACTCAATTTTTACAAAAATAAGATTAGCTGTATAATGTTTTATATTATATATACTACATGTACTATATTTTATAACATATACTATATATATGGACTATATAAATTATATATGCATACACATACACACACAATTATATGTATCTATCTACATAGGCATATAGATATACATATATATATACACAATATATCCATTTAAAGAGTGAAAGAGAATTCACTTTTCTCTAATGAGGCCTTTATCAAAATGTATTCCCAAAACACTAATCCTCAAGACATGCTGAGGAAAAAAGGAGTCTAGTGTCAAGTAAGTTTGGAAGGCACATATATTCCCCATCTGGAGATACATTAGTATATTAGAGGCACTAAAACATCCAGAAGTAAATACATTTGTTGAAAACAACTTTTAACCCAATATTTTCTAAACTTCTTTACCCCTTTTTTCAGTAACATCTTACTATCTCTGGGAATTGGTGCTTTATAAATTATATTTTGGGGATCACTGCTCTGGTGCCCATGACTGTGTTTTCCATAAAGATAGAAATTAATAAATATGTATGGTATGTTTAAAAAAACCAAAACATCATATTAAAATTTACAGTATTAAGTCCTTTTATGCATTCTTAATGGCTTACAGAAACACACTAATAATGTTGGATAAGGGAATTGGTTCCAAAAGCCAGTTTTTTAAAAAACGCAGTAATATAAAAGCTTTGAATCATACTAAACTTCTCCAGAATATACCTCACAAGCCAAATTTAATGAGACTATCTGGAATTTTTTAATCATATTCAGCCCTACATTTTTAAAAATGAAATTATATGTATCAAGAGACAATTATTTACTTCTGTGGACCTATCTGTCTTGTGACAACTCATGAAATATAATAAATTTCTTCTCTAAACAGTATTTTTTTCCTTTTATCTGGTTATAGAAAATCCAAAACTAACACCAATATCTCTTAGATTACTTTGTTTTTAATTACAATACAATAAAAGTTTTTAAGTCCTTTAATTTTAGATATTCAGAAACAAATCCAATTGTCTAATATTACTGCAATGTAATTTTGCACTAACAGTATTATCATCTTCATCACTTTTATCAAATCAGTTGTCATTTATGTTGCATACAGATAAGAAATTTCTACCTGAACTAACTATTGAATTATACTGAATATACTCTTAAGAAAAGTTGTAACATCATAGAGCAAGTCAGTTAAAAAAATTATTAAATTTACCAAACTCAACCTCTCATCAGAAACTCCACAGAATTAAAAAAAAAATGAAAACCCCAGAATTCATTAGCTCTAAAATGTGATCAGCTCCAGTAAATTAGAACTATATTTATTATGTAGTATACTCAAGGGATGGGGGATTTTCAAACAACACAGGCTCACCTTACTCTTTCTTTAGAGTCTCCAAATGTCTCCTTTAAGCTTCTCAGGTCAGGATAATAGCTTTCAGGAGGTGATATTATTTCCAACAAGCCAGAATTGATTTCTTTAGAAAATCTAGCATGAGAAAGGTAACTGATTAAATTCTGTGGGATTTTATTTATCTTAATGCTCAACTTAGTGTATTTAATATGACACACACCAGAAAGGTATACTATTAGGTCACAGTGTATTCAATGAAGTATCTCATCACTGATTTTATCTGCCAGAAAATACATGTTTTTCCAAGAGCACAGGGGTTTTCAAAATTATGCTTTAAGAACAGTGTAAAATGCCACTATCCTTAGAGTAGCATAGAAATCCTAGGCCAAGTGCAGGTATTACATTCCTAAAAATTATCAGAATTGAAAGAAAAAATCAAGGTATCACAGAAAACAGGGAATTGAAGACAAACTAATGAGTATGCATATCTATATACACATAAAAATCAAAGTTCTTCAATTTTCAGGAAGATTTAGTTGTGGGTTATATACTACATGTTATTCTAAATTTGTGTTTTTCAACAGGGAGTGATCTTGCCCCCCTGATGGTACACTGAGCAATGTCTGGAGACATCTGGCTGTTGCAACTGTGGGCAGTACTACTGACATCTAGTGGGCAGACACCAGGGATGTGCTAAACAATGCATAAGACAGTCTTCATAGCAAAGAAGCCCCCATTGTCAATAGTGGCAAGGCTGAGAAACTCTGTTCTAAAGTTTTTTAAATCAGTCTTTACTGATGAATGTACACATTTGCATTCTCCCTGACTTCATTTTTGCAGATCTCCACAAAACACCTGTACAATTACCTCCTTTCACACAAATATTCTTAGTGCTTAACTGCATTTTTTTTTTGGGCTTGGTTTTCCTATACATTGAGGAAGAAGGGAATCAACAGAATCACTGCCTAAGGCCCACGGACCTGCCCATGTAGTCTATGAGAAGGGCGACCAATAATTACTGCTCTGTTCCTATATTTAAGGAGTCTATACTAAATTGTTCTTATATAAAGGTTGCCAAGAAATTGAGCACATCAGGAAAATCTAACAATTGCAATTTAATTCTTAACTGTGCTTATTTTTTTTAAATCTCTGGTTTTAGCATTTTTATAACCAAAGTTAGAGCCACTTGATTTTAAATCTAGAATTTAAAGATTTCTACATGTCTTTGTAAGTTGAAGATATGTTTTGGGGGGCAAAAACAGATACAATTCAATGAGGAAACCACATCAAGACTACTTTTCAGCATATCACTATTAGAGCTATGAAGGCAATGTTATAAAAACTAATGATACCTGAAACTTACTAAGCTTTTCATCTGTTACCTGCTGTGTGCTTTGCTCACAATAAGTTGTTAATCTTTTCAGAATAGAAGAACAGATTTAGATATAGTTTAGCACTGAGATTTCAAAGTGCTACATGACTACCTGTGAGGAAAAAACTTTTTTTCTTGGTAAACAGAGTGAACGATTTAAGTAATCTCATATGACTCTATATTCTCTCTCTTCAAGATTAATGACAGTTATGTGGTAGTGTTACTTCTGACATTCTAGTCTTTACTATAAAGAAATACACCAATCCGTCCCATCAGGTAACTGGATACACATGCACCTACTTTATGACAATGTAAAAGACCAAAGATAGGTGGACCAATGAACACTGAACTCCACAGAGAAATGGACTATAAAAAGAAGGTTTTTCTTTTTTTTAGCAAGAAGCCAAGAGATAATAGGAGCTAAAATATTTTCATTTCCATAGTTAAAAACAACTTACTCTTTCTCCAGGTTGGCTACAACACCATGTACATAATCAATATCTGTCTGGGAAAGAAAAAAAACTGTATCTACATTCATGTTTTTATACTTTTATTTAACTTTCAATATTAAACTTGAATTAAGTAAATGATTAAAAGTTAACTGAAAACATCACATTAAACTTTCAGACACCTTGTGAATTTCTGTATTCTACTTTATTGTACTACTGTGTATCACTGAGAACTTAACACAATAAGCAGATTTGTAAGCTTAAATTATTTTCAATTGTCTATGTTCAATTCAATAAACAAAAACTATTCCTACTTCTCCTGAAAGATCCAAATTATAAGTAGTGAATATACAGCAAACGCAGCATGCTACAGGAAAGATTTTTCCTCTTGGAATCATAAAACTTAGCTTCAAGTAGCCACTGGTCAAAAAATCTAAAGTCATTTCTCTGATTCTCAGTTTCCTATCCTATTAAAAATAAATAAATAAAAGATGAGAGGAAGTAATACCTCAGAGACTATAACATTAAATGATAAAACTATGTAGTAAAAAGCCATGTTGTTACCCTTTATTATTACTACTGGGATGATAATGGGAATCCAAGTGAAGAGCATTTTAACCACTGTTAGAAATAAATGGTTATCAGACCTGTGTGCTTCTAAATTATATACAAATAAAGATCCAATCCAATACTCCCTATCAATTTTAAATACAGTGACAGCTTATATTAAAAATGCCCAGTTGTTAAAAGGAATCAGTGATACAAAAAATATATATGTTATTTAGAATGCCAAAATGCTAATACTTGAGGAAAACAAACCAAACCAATAAAAGATAAAGCTTAACCCTGGAAATTACAAAACTACTGAATTATAAGAAGTTGTTTTCTAAGAGGTTTTCTGAAAAATATTTTAACTTTAATTTCTATTAACTGAAAGTAATTCCTGTTTTTATTGTTAAAGACTTAGAAGTGAGACATCTTGTTAAGACCAAATCCTCCGAACTCTTTTAAAAAAGTACTATGGAGCTTTAACTGGCACACAGCTTAAAGCCCTCTGTACTTCACCTACATGAATCCAAACATTAAAGATTTCTTTTAAAATAAATTATCACCCAAATGTTTAACCAATGACTACTTTACCACTCATTAGGCTATAACTCTGGAGAATATGAAACATGCCTGATTTATATAAACTTAAAGGAGTTTAACAACCTGAAATTCAATTTGATAAGCACTTATTGTGGGCCAGAGACTGGCCTGTCCAAGGGACCAGGAATACAAAGATGAATACAAGACCAGTTCCCTGTCTCCAGTATACTGTCTAAGAGTGGGGGGCAAGAAGAATAAGCTTATGTGAGTACAGATTATGTGATGTGTAATAGAATTTATAAAATTCAAGCAATCTCAAAGAACACCATCAACAGAACAAAAAGGCATCCTACAGTATGGGGGAATATATTTGTAAATGACATATCCAACAAGGGGTTCACATCCAAAATATATAAAGAACTCACACGCCTCAATACCCAAAAAGCAAATAAGCTGATTAAAAAATGGACGGAGGATATGAACAGACAATTCTCCAAACAAGAAATTCAGATGGCCAATAGGCACATGAAAAACTGCTCCACATCACTAATTATCAGGGAAATGCAAATTAAAATCACAATGAGATATCACCTCACACCAGTTAGGATGGCCAACATAGAAAAGAATAATAACAACAAACGCTGGCATGGATGCAGAGAAAGGGGAACCCTCCTACACTGCTGGAGGGAATGTAAACTAGTTCAACCATTGTGGAAAGCAGTATGGAGGTTCCTCAAAAAACTCAAAATAGAAAAACCATTTGACCTGGGAAGTCCACTCCTAGGAATTTACCCTAAGAATGCAGCAGCCCAGTTTGAAAAAGCACCCCTATGTTTATCGCGGCAGTATTTATAATAGCCAAGAAATGGAAGCAACCTAAGTGTCCATCAGTAGATGAATGGATAAAGAAGATGTGGTACATATACACAATGGAATATTATTCAGCCATAAGAAGAAAACAAATCCTACATTTGCAACAACATGGATGGAGCTAGAGGGTATTATGCTCAGTGAAATAAGCCAGGCGGAGAAAGACAAGTACCAAATGATGTGGAGTATAGGAACAAAGCAAAAACTGAAGGAACAAAACAGCAGCAGACTCACAGAACCCAAGAATTGACCAACAGTTACCAAAGGGAGAGGGACTGGGAAGGATGGGTGGGAAGGGAGGGAGAAGGGGAATAAGAGGCATTACGATAAGCACACCTAACATAGTGGGGGCTCACAGGGAAGGCAGTATAGCACAGAGAAGACAAGTAGTGACTCAATAACATTTTACTATGCTGATGGACAGTGACTGTAATGGGGTATGTGGTGGGGACTTAATAATGGGGGGAATCTAGTAACCACAATGTTGCGCACATGATTGTATATTAATGATACCAAAATTAAAAAAATGCAAGCAATCTCACACTACATATAATCCTTATGTTGCATGCTGACTGACATAATTGGCTTAAATGACTATAACTGGTGTCACTTTTTAAATAACACAGTCAACCTTTTCTGATATCACCTAAGGGAACTGTTCTGGTATTCATCTTAAGAAAGCTAAACATATAACTGGCCTATAAATACACAGCTAAGCCAGTCTTTGTTCCCAGCAGGGCCTTTACCTTTGTTTCCCTACCTCTTAAGTGTTTGCAAGCAGGCAGTCTCTGACATCTTGGGGCTTGCTTGTTTTAAGTTAAGGAAGCACTTTCCCAAAATCCTTTCTAAGGCATGTGGAGACTTCTAAAAGGTAATTTTATCATCCAATTCTGAGAATGTATCTGAATCTAAAACCAAGATATATGTATTCTAGGGGTATGTGAACATTATAGTTGGATTAAGTGGGAGAGAAAGTGAGCATACAGAGCAAAAGAAGAGCACTTTTTCCTGGAGAGAAACAGTCAAGTAAAATTAAATATTTTTATAATATTAAGACCAAGAGATACTATTGACACATATTGCAGCATGGATGAACCTTGAAAATGTGCTAAGTGAAAGAAGCCAGTCACAAGAACACATATTTTAAGATTATATTTATATACAATGTCCAGAATAGAAAAATCTATAGAGCGAGAAAGTAGATCACTGAATGCCTACAGCTTGTGGGATAGGGGTATTAATGGATGATGGCTAAGGGATACAGACTTCCTTTTGGGGATGAAGATACATTCTAAAATTGACTGAATTGATGGCTGCACACTCTGACTTTAAATAGATGAACTGTATACTGTATGAATTACATTTTAAAAGCCTAGGAGATAGTAAAAAGTTTAATTAAAAAAAACAAGTATTTCAGATTGTGCACAGTACTATGGGAGTACAATGTCATACAGCTTCTCTTAGGGATATAAAGTTTAAGAAGCACAAAAGCAGGTTCAAATACGCCACTGACATTGACGCAATACACCAACAGATACTCATATACACCTAACAATGCACTGACATACAAATATGACTTAAGTATCAGTTTTACCAGAAGTGTATAAATTGAATTGGAAATAGTAAAATAATAATCTTTGTTATTTTAAATCATAAATTTATGAAGTCCAATTTAAAAAGAAATACATAGTGGTGAAATGCCATGGCAGTCAGAGAACTGCAACAAAGTCAACTGATTTCAGGGAAACTTTTAATTAAAGTCAATCAATATGTGAAATAACATCACTTTTTAATATGCTACAGCTGGTGTGTTCTGTACTAATGCAAAGAGAAAATATGTGAAACAGAAATCTGAGGAAAAAGGATTTTTGTCTTAAAATAAACTACACAAGTTTCTATGGTCTAAAATAAAAACAGAAAGTTAGAGACAAGATCCAATGAAAGATAAATAAATGTTGCAAATGTCAGAGACACAAGGCTGCTATAAAAGTTATCCAGATGAAAACAAGGAAGAAATTTTAAGTACCATAGCAAAAGAGAACTTGAAATTAAAAGGAGTGTATTTTAAATAACTTGAAGGATGGCAAAAGTTGGTTTTAAAAATGTCCTTTGTATGTAAATTTACTATCTTCTTTCTAATCATTTCACTCCACAAATATTTACTCAGTGCCCAAATCATAAGCTGGAATATATATACATATATATCCATATCGTATCCACATATCTCAACTGCTGAGTATAGATTAGTGAATAAAACTGAAAGGATCTCTCCTTGTGGAATCTAAAACTAGTGTAAGACGCAGTCCATAAAACAAAAACAAAATAATACAGCATAAAGAACTGAATATTTATTAAGTGCTATAAAAATAGTATGTAATAATAGAGAAAAAGAGAAGTGACTTATTTAAACAGGATAGTCAAAGGAAGTCTCTCTGAAGATTTGACATTTAAGCCTAAATCTGATACATATCTCTATTCAAAACTACAAAACACTAAAAAGAATATTTTAGGTCGATTGTTATGTTAATCAGGGCTTTGTCTCTGCCTTAGATCACACTAGTGCACTGGACAAGACCTGGTGAGACAGAATACAGACCATGCCATCCAAAAACAGAATACAAATTATTTTCAAGTTCACATAGAACATTCTCCAAGATAGATTCACATGCTAGGTCACAAAATAAGTCTCAATAAATTTAAGAAGACTGAAATCATGTCAAGTATCTTTTCTGATCATAACAGTATGAAACTAGAAATCAATTACAAGAAGAGAACTGGAAAAAACACAAACACATGGAGATTAAGCAACATGCTACAAAACAAACAAGGACTCAACAAAGAAATCAAAAAGGAAATCCAAAAATATATCAAGACAAATGAAAATGGAAACACAACATTCCTAAATATTTAGGATGCAATAAAAGCAGTCCTAAGAGGGCAGTTCATAGCAATTACAGGCCTACCTAAAGAAACAATTATCTCAAATGAAAAAATCTAACTTTACATTTAAAAGAACTAGAAAAAGAAGAAACAAAGCCCAAATTTAGTAGAAGGAAAAAGCAATAAAAATCAGAGTGGAAATAAATGATAGAGACAA